TCTCTGTAGATACAGTACTGCTCCTTTGGTGTTCATATCTTAAGAAGACAAAAATCATTCTTTTTAATTTATTTTTATTGTTATCGTAGAGTTGATGTACAGAGGGGTTACACTTACATGAATCAGGTAATGAGTACAATTCTTTTTAAACAATGTTCTCTCTCTCTCCCAGATTTCCCCTCCTGTCCCCATCCACAAAATATACAGTTCATTTCCTACATAGTATTGGTGAATACCACTGTTTATTCACCCTTTGTTCTACCTTTTTTGTGCTTCCCCCTTATCCTCCCAAATACAAACAAACTAAAGAAAAGACAACGGGAAAAGAAAACAAAAACAACAACAGCAGCAACTAAACAATTCCTCTTGATTCCATTTCTTGGAGTTCATTTCATGAAGTATTATTTCATATGGTCATATGCACATAACTCTCGAGCCTTTGTCAACCACTCCTATGCATAGCCTCCTTTGCCTCGGTGTGTGAAACAGAATCATTTCTAAAGAGGCTTCTCAGAGGCAGGTTCTAGCATATCTGGTTTGTGATTATACTTATTTTACTTGGCTCTCTTCTGTTTTGTTTTATCCTGCTTGCTTCTCACTTACCTTGTTTTTTTATCCTTCAAGGTTTAGCAGATCCACTGCATGATCTGGAAGAATGCAGCTCTAGAGAGAGAAACTTCACTCTCCACTCCAAGAAAAAGACAACAGCTGAAAAGTGAGTATCCAAGAGCAATGCATTATCTCGGTAAAAAGCAGCTGGGCACGTAAGCACACCTTTCGTTAAGCACACCTGTGGTAGGCTCGGGAGTATTATTTAATTACAAACATTTGATCTTTATTAACTCCTCATACAACACCATCCCCAATCACACATGATGTCAAGTAACATAATCGTTGGGATAATTAAATTAGCAAAATCCATGTAATCAATACTGTATTATCCTTGCTTCCTGTTGTTTTACTGAAATATCAAACAGTACAGGGACATGAGTGATTGTACAATTGCACATTTTCATATGTTCATTGTAAAAAATGTATATACAGATAAATAAGCCACAAACAGAAAGGTACATGACCCCACCAATCTAATAATACCCATTGTTCAGCTCTCTAGGTGTGTTCTTTTATTTGTATGAATGTATATTATCATTTTTAATGAAGTTATAATATGATACTGTCCTGCAATATGCTTTTTCATGAGCCTTCTGCAGAGCCTTCTACTTTCTATGGTGCCATTGCTTTTAAAGATTTCACAGCATCATTTCACAGGGACAGGCCACAATTTATAAGCATTCTCCTACCATGAGATACTGTGTATCTCTTTCATTGATATGATCTTCCACCACTACATTACAAACTGGTACACACATTTCTGTCAGCCATTTTGTTCACATTGTTCATCAATATTGCTGAATCAAGCTGCAGGCATATTCCACTAGCAAATTGCTATAGCAATTTTTATAGCAATTTATACTCCCACTAGAATACTTGGAACATTAATGCCCTTGCAGCATTAACAGCATCAAGAATTTACCTTTCCTCCTTTACTCTCAGTTTATAAGCAGAAAGGAGTCTTCCATGGTGCTCAAATATTTCCCTCAACACAAATTAAATTTTATTTTTGCATATTTTCTTGCTTTTATTTTTGAATTCCCTTTACTACTATTTCTAATCAGGTTTTTTTTTGCTGAATTGTAAAAGGTGCTTTCATATTCAATTTGCTCATTTTTTTCAGCCACAGAAATTTTCAACCTTTGTTTGGCCAAAATAACAGTGTTTCCATGGACTCTGACCTTTGATCACTTGGTTATGAATATTTACCTAACGACTTGGAAAATCATCAGGCTTACTATCTTGGAATTTTTTTCCATGTTTCAAAATGTTTGACTATGAAATCTCTGGGAAGTAGCCTTTCCTGTTTGCATTAGGAAAACAACTTCAAAAATGATTATAAAGTATCTTCATAATACTTTACAATGGGATTTGAAATAGCAATGGTAGTTAATTTATATGGAACGTGTATTCTGAGTCAAGAGTGTTCTGTACACAGAATCACTCCTTGGAGTCTTCCAAAAATATTGTCAGTTTCATTTCACCTGTAATGAAACATACATTTGGAAGACAGTTCCATATTCATATCATACAGTAATTGAGACAAGAGGCTCTACCTACATTTAAGTATCCACTGTAATGCAGGCTGGGGTGACCTTGGGCCAATTCCTTTAATCTCCCTGAGCCTCAGTTTCCTCATCTGTCAATATAAGAGCCCCTCCCAACAGGCCATTGTAAAATGAGTTGCTAATGGCACAGTGAAAGAAATGGTGTCTAAATATGAACATAAAATCAAACAAACTTTCCTCATAAAGCCTTGTAGTGTTTTATAGTGTGCTCACCGAAATTATGGCAACTTATAATTATCAAGCAGGTTCATAAAATACCTTTCTCTTCATTAGAAGCTTTAGTGGCATTCTATCATTACCAAGGAGCAAAACTTGTAAGTAGGGAAATGCAGTTGAGTTTCTGGAGAGCAGCTATATTTCCTGGGCAATGTGGAGTGGACTGTGGAGAGCCAATGAGGAAGGGTAGTTGACCCAACTCATCAGTTAAGAATAGTTAAGAATAGAGAATCTCCACATTTTTTCACATGGGACATATCTCCATCATGAGTGTCTTGTGCCTTCCCTTCCTCATTTGATTCTGCTGTGTTTAGGTAAGACTCTTCTTTTTTCTGGCTTAACACTGAACAAAAGCTGTCTAGTCAATTCCATGACACTAGATTTACCCTGGGCTAGCTTGGCAGTTCTGCCATGTATGTGATATTCTAAGCACCCTGTAAACGTTATGTCTGTCAGTAAAAGAGTTTCTTTTCTCTGCTTATTCAAGCTATTTTTGTCCTGATGCTAACTCGCTCTTGTTTTCAACCTTCTGTTCCCAGTATTTATATTTTTTAAACCATCTGACTATCTGGAATGAATATGCTGAGGTTTACATGATTTATGACTAGGGAAATACAAATTTGGGTAAACATTTCTCTAGATAGTCACTCTGGAGTGAAATTTCTCTAGAATATTTGTCACATAGGTTGAGGATATTGATATACTTTAAGTTCTTCTTTGTTTTTTTATTTTTATTTTTTTGTGAACATACTGTATATGGGCAAGATAATGAGTAAAATTCTTATCAAGCATTGCAGCCTCCTCCTTTAAGTTCTTCTTTCTATCAGTTTACTGATTCTATGAATTGTGGCTTTAAGTATGCTTTTTTGCAATTTACATTTCATAGGTTTGGAATTACTCTTTTGCTTTTCCCAGTATTTGCATTAACCACTTAATTGTTAAATTCGTGTATTTTATTGTGTAATTATTTAGAGCATATTATATTACAGCCTCCCAAACTGGAATTATATATTCTAATTAATCACACACAGCAACCCAATGCCTTTGTTGAGGGATTTTTTTTTTAAATTAGTATGATATATTTCTTAGACCTTAGAAATTAGAGCAAATCCATTGCTTTTGGAACACATATCTCTAAAGCCTATTATATAACTCTTTTTTTAAAAAAATATTTTCTCTCTAAACTCAGAGACATTGTTCTATTTTCCTAAAAGTAAAAGCATAATGCAACCAGAAAATGCTTAATTTATAGGCACTTTCCATCCCCAGATGCCTACAAAACCCTTGCTTATTCTCCAGAGATTTGATGCGCAGTTCCATGCGACTGGTGTAGTCATAGTTCCCCGCTGGTACTTCTCTCAGGAAGCTCCACTTTGATTTGAATCTAATTCTCTTTGGCTCCTTTTCATGAAAACCTGTCCACATTTTTTAAAAAATGGGTTCTTAGTTGGAAATTTGGAGAAAGAAGAAGAGCACATATCAGAAAGGATCGCAATGAAAATGCTTACCTAGTTTTAAATAGGGATGAAACAGCACGATGTAAAGTGAACCCTTTATCAACAACTTACAGTATAATCGTAACTTGGGGTATAGTGATGGGAAGAATAGAGTAATCCTAAGCCAAGAAGCAAGAAGAGCCTTTACAGACATGCACGAGAAAGTGCATTCCTTATCATTACTTATGGAAATTGAAACACTATTCTGCAATGATAAAAGTAAAAAAAAAAGAGTGGTTAGCTGTCAATGCATAAAGATAATGAGAAGGCAGGAGGAAATCTGTAGGTTCTTGGAATTGTTCTATTTCTTACTTCCTACAGTGATGTATTTATTTATTTTATTGATACGTTTGCTTATTTTATTGGTGTATGTACACTTATATTTGATGTGTTTACTTAAGAAAAATCAAACTATATTTAGACTTTCTTGCTGTATGTTTCAGTATTTTACCAAAAATGTCAAGAATGCACTTATTTATCTAATCATAAAAATACAACCATTAAGTCTTTGAAGGGTTGTTCTCTTTTTACAAAAACACAACATATCAGCTCTTGTCAATTAGCTTAAAAACATTATAATTGAACTGATTAGAGGCTTATGCCTCTAATCCTAGCTACTCTGTAGGCTGAGATCTGAGGATTGTGGTTCAAAACCAGCCTGGAGAAGAAAAGTCCAAGTAAGATTCTTTCTTCCAATTCACCAGCAAAAAGCTGGAGCTGGAGATGTGGTGGTAGAGTCATGAGGGTCTGAGAGTGCAAGTCCCTGTACAAGCGGGTACACACACACACACACACACACACACAAACAATGAAACACACTCTACACTTGAAAAGGTACATTTTATCAGGAACATCTACATGTTTTACTCCTGAAGAATTCTTCTACAGATGAGTATCCACCCATTTATGAAAATGACCAGGGGAAAACATGCCAGATCTCTTACTATGAGTCCTATCCAAGCATTGTGGCAGAAAAAAAAAAAAAAAGAATACTGCACAGGTAGTTCCAAATCAAAGCAGAAGTTCGAAGCTCCCGCTTCTATGCTGACTGTGAAGCAACTCAGTCAATGAGAGTTCACCACATCCCTACCCCTGTTTTGCAGGAGTCATGTTGGCTTGGAATCGCTTACTTAACCAATCTGGTCCCGCTGAATTTGTTTTCCGGGTCTTCACCACGGTCCCTGAATTCCAGGTGCTCCTCTTCCTCCTCTTCCTCCTCCTCTACTTGATGATCCTTTGTGGCAACACTGCCATCATCTGCGTGGTGTGCACGCACAGCTCTCTCCGCACACCCATGTACTTCTTCCTGGCCAACCTGTCATTCCTGGAAATCTGCTACACCTCGGTCGTGGTACCCTTGATGCTCTCCAACATCTTCGGGACGCAGAAGCCCATCCCATTGGCTGGTTGCGGGGCTCAGATGTTCTTCTTCGTGACCCTCGGCAGCACCGACTGCTTCCTCTTGGCGGTCATGGCCTACAATCGCTACGCGGCCATCTGCCACCCGCTGCACTACGGCCTCCTCATGACCCGCAGACGGTGCGTGCAGATGGTGGCGGGCTCCGTGGGCCTGGCCGTCTTCCTCTCCCTGCAGCTCACGGCCTTAATCTTCACCCTGCCCTTCTGCGGGCACCTGCGGGAAATCCACCACTTCCTCTGCGACGTGCCCCCGGTCCTGCGCCTGGCCTGCGCCGACACGCGCGTGCACCAGGCGGTGCTCTACGTGGTGGGCATCCTGGTGCTCACCGTGCCCTTCCTGCTCATCTGCGTGTCCTACGGGTTCATCGGCGCCGCCATCCTGCGGATGCGCTCCGCGCGGGGCCGCCAGCGGGCCTTCTCCACCTGCTCCTCGCACCTCACCGTGGTCTTGCTGCAGTACGGCTGCTGCAGCCTGGTCTACCTGCGGCCGCGCTCCAGCACCTCCGAGGACCAGGACCGCCGGATCGCCCTGGTCTACACCTTTGTCACCCCCTTGCTCAACCCCGTGATTTACACCCTCAGGAACAAGGATGTCAAAGGCGCTCTGAGGGGTGCCATCTTCAGTAAAGGGGCCTCGGTCTAGCAACGGGTTGTCATCCTTCCGGATGGAGAAGAGGAAAGGTGGGCCTGGGGGAGGGGGTGGGGAGAGGGGGGCCCATCAGTGGTTAGGTCAACCAACGCTAATGGATGAAGACAGTTAAAAGTATTGAATGTCCCAAACTTTGCCTTCCGTGCGTCTTCAGCCTCAAGTCTACACCCGTTTGTTTGAACTGCTTTAAGGAAGTCTTGAACATGTGAACATTATTGAAATGGACTCCAGGAAAGAGAATCAAGAGAGGTTTGGGTTTTTTTCAATGTTTTTTTTTTCTTTTCCTTTTTGTTGTTAGTTCATTTATCTGTCTCCGGGATGGTAAGGGGCAGACACCGAAATGGAGGGACATAGGGTGAACAAATGCAGCAGTGCTACTCACTGGACGCTCTGTGGGAAGTGAACTGTACAACTTGTGGGTGGAGACGGGTGGGGAAAAATGGGAGAGAGCAAAGGAAGGGGTGACATTGTTCAAAAAGAAATGTACTCTTTACCTGCTTATGTAACCATAATCCCTCTGTACCTTCAGAATAAAAATTATATATGTGTGTGTAATATATATATATACATATACATATAATTGGTGGTGGTGGTGGTGGTGGTCTTGGGACTTGAACTCTGGGCCTGGGTGCTGTCCCTGAGTTCTTCAGCTCAAGGCTAGCACTTTACCACTTGAGCCACCAAACCACTTCCAGTTTTCTGGTGGTTAATTGGAGATAAGAGTCTTAGGGACTTTCCTGCCTAGGCTGGCTTTGAACCATGATCCTCAGATCTCAGCCTCTTGAGTAACTAGGATTACAGGAGTGAGCCACCAGCGCCTGGCTAACAATAAAAATATTTGTGTACATAGTTTTTGACCTTTTCTGTTTGTCTCAGACATATACTAGTTACTGCAAATAAGGAAAACCATGGGACCTATGTTTCTTTGGGCCTGGCTTACTTCACTTAATATAAATTTTTCCAAGTCTTTCCATTTCCTAACAAATGGGGCAATGTCATTCTGTCTGATGGAGCCATAGAATTCCATTGTATATATATACCACATTTTCTTGATCCATTCATCTACTGAGGGGCATCTGGATTGGTATCTTAGCTATGGTAAATAATGCTGCAATAAACATAGTTGTGCTGGTAGCTTTAGTATGGTCTTGTTTGTGATCATTTGGGTAAATGCCCAAAGTGGGATTGCTGGGTCATAGGGGAGCAATATGTGGAGTATTTTGAGGATCCTCCATACTGCTTTCCAAAGTGGTTGAACCAGTTTATACTCCCACCAACAATGCAGTAGTGTTCTCTTTTGGCCATATCCCCTCCAGCATCTGTTGTTATTAGAGTTCTTGATTATAGACATTCTAACTTGGGTGAGGTGGAATCACAAATGGTTTTTCCTTTCTTGCTATTGTTTTTAATGTACTTATAATGTACTGTGTGATTTTTTGTTTCTTTAGTATGTTTATCCCCCATAGTATAACCCTTGTTTCACTGTATTTGAGTCTTGTGCCCTGCATCTTGTATATACACTTTTGCAATTTGGGGAAGGGAAAGGAAAAAACAAAATGCTTAAATAAGGATACAGGCTGACCCATTGTAACAATGAGATGTACAAGACACTATGTTGAAAATGAACTTGACAACTTGCAGGGGGAGGGAGGAGTTGGGGAGGTGGGGAGGGAAGGGATGGTAGGGGAAAAACAAAGGAGGAGGTAACAACACTCAATAGGAAGTGTACTCATTACCTTACTCATATAACTGTAACCCCTCTGTACACTATTTTTACAATAAAAACAATGTTTTTTAATTTTGAGCATAATTTCCATAGGAATTCTACTTAGCTCTACTGAGCATTTGTCTTCTGTTAGGTCCCTTCCTCATTGCTGTGAACAAAGGCTGACACCTCTAAGCATGGAGCAGTCTCCTAAGGAGGCAGGCAGCAATTGTAATGTGTCCTTTGACCAGAGCCTTATATAAGGGAAATCCATAAAGACATAAATTTACTCAGAGGAACCTACTTTCTTGTGTTCAGTGTAGTAAGCCGTAACTTTTTAATGCTTCAGTCTCCAACTTTTTTAAATCCTTCAGTTGTTGCTTTCATTCATTTATTTAGCAGAACCAGGGGGTTGTTTTATAGTGTTTAATTTTATTATTATCCTTAAGTACAAAAAGGTTTCAGTTCAGCGTGTCATCTTGTGCATACGATGTGCTTTGATCAACATTACCCCTTTCATCCTCCTCTCCCATGTCCCCCAACCCCACCCATCCCCTCCATGTACCTAGTTCCATTTTCACATAGGTAAATTGATCCACATAGGTAAGTTCACCCATCCTTCCTCCCAACTGATTCCCTTCATTTTATTTCATTCTACAGCTCCTGGAAAAGGACAGGAATTAGCTTCATTGAGTACCAGTCATGTGCCACACACCCTAAAACTCCCTCTGGTCTTTTCCTGCACCACGCACATGACACCCTTGTGCTAATATTACACTAGGGTTTATACTTCCAACCTTCTTTTTAAAAACTGTTATTATAAGGGTGATGAACGGTGAAGTTACAGTTACATAAGTCAATGAGTACAGTTCTTTTTGAACAATGTCACTCCTTCCCTCGATCTCTCCCAGTTTTCCCCTCCGGTCCCCCACCACAAATAGTATCGTTCATGTTCAACATAGTGTCTACTGAGTAACACAGCTGCATTTGTTCACCCTTTGTACCTCCATTTCTTCTATACCGCCCAAGCCTTCTTGATGGCTGCTGCTAAGCAATGCATCCAGCAGGTGGCGCTAAGTTCCTCCCATCTCAGGACGTTGTGCCATTACAGGGCTTCAACATCTTCAGGTAATCCTTGCCCCAGGACCAGAGAAGCCACCTGAGAGAATCCACTTCCCTCTATGGTGTTCTCAGCAGACCCTCTGCTGGTCACCCTTCCATGCACTCAGAAACAGCCAAATGAAGAGAGCTTCAGAGAACACTCTTAGCAAAACTCTTACACCTCTCCCAGAACCGCTATGGAAGGGTGCTGGGTCCATCCCATAAACTGACTTTAGTAAACTACAGGGGAAAGAGATCAAAATTGTTTCTTGTGGATATTGAAGCTGGCTTGATAGGTTCACATACCCTTTCTGAACATCATAAGAATCATAGTACCAACAGGCTTAGAAAATTAGCAGACACTGAAATGTACTCGTTATCTTGCCCATGTAATTGTAACTCCTCTGTACGGTATTCTCACAATAAAAAAAAAATAGAAAAAAACCCTGAAAACATGAGACAGTCTCAAATCATAGGCTAAAAAGTCATTAAAAACTGATTTCTAGGGCTGGGAAGGTGGCTCAGTGGTAGAGTGCTTGCCTTGCATGCATGAGGCCCTGGGTTCGATTCCTCAGCACCACATAAGCAGAAAAAGCCGGAAGTGGTGCTATGGCTCAAGTGGTAGAGCGCTAGCCTTGAACTGAAGAGCTGAGGGACAGCGCCCAGGCCCAGAGTTCAGGTCCCATGACTGACAAAAAAACAAAAACAAAAACTGATTTCTAAGAGATAAACCCAGTCATTGCACTACAGACTTGCTATATTACTTAAAATATTTACTAATTAAGAGTGATAGATGTAATTGTCCTTGTAAATCACAAAGTCATGGTTGAAATTTGCCTCACCCATGATTGGCAAGTTCTCTACCTCTGATCAAGAGTCCAGCACTAGTCACCCAATTTAATATATGTGCATATACATATATGGGTGTTATAATAAATAGAAACATTAATGGTGATTTGTATGGTTATGGATTTAAATTCTTTTCTTCTTTATTCATTGCTGCATTCTGCACATTTCCTAAAGTAGGATTCTGTTCTTATCACCAGACAAGTGAATGTGTCTTTTAAAAATATGAATTTCAGCCTGGAAATGTGGCTCAGTGGTAGACTGCTTGCCTAGCATGCACGAAGCCCTGGGTTCAATTCCTTAGTACCTCATAAACAGAAAAGGCCAGAGTAATGCTGTGGTCAAGTAGTAGAGCACTAGCTTTGAGCAAAAGAAGCTCAGGGACAGTGCCTAAGCCCTGAGTTTAAGCCCCAGGATTGGCAAAGAAAAAGAAAATATGAATTTCATGTAGATTTACTTGGCTCATAAACCTCCCATCATGACAGCTTAAATCCACTTTTTGGATTTTACCTAGTTTCAGACCTATTCTTTGGTTTATTCCTTGTTCCTTCAAAACTTCTTTCCATACAATTTCAATTTTCAGGCTGATTTCACAAGGGGGTAAGGAGAAGAATGACAAATTGTTCCTCGTTCTAGGGATAGCTTTGGATTGAACAATATATTTAAAATGCCTCCCTTTCCAAGTTCATGCTAAAGGAAAGGGCAATTTCCTGGTTGACAGATCCCTAAGCAACCTCTCCTGGACCAGTCACATCAGAACATAAAGAATCGATTATTTGGAAACGTTACATTAAGGCAATGTCTGAAATGCCAACAACAACAAAAAAAGAAGTACACAGCTATATTTTCACGCCTCCTTACATTCTGTATTGAATGCCACAAATCATACTGGATATTAAGTTGGAAGGCAAAAAAGAGAACGAGTTCAATGTTACTCTTTTAAAAAGAGGCTCCAAAAGGTTGCCTGATCCTTGCAATATGAAGTACTAGACCCTCCCATCTACTTTTCCTGTACAAACTCTTGATAAATACAGTGAACTCTTCCTTTTCTTATCATTTTTCCATTTTTTCTTTGTTTTTTTTTGGGGGGGGGGGTAGGGAGGGGGAACAGTCCTGGGGCTTGAGCTCAGGACCTGGGAGCTGTCCCTGAGCTTCTTCATCTGAAGGCTAACACTCTACCACTTGAGCCACAGCACCACTTCCAACCTTTTCTGAGTAGTTTATTGGAAATATGAGTCTCACAGACTTTCCTGCCTGGGCTGCCTTTGAACTGCAATCCTCAGATCTCAGCCTTCTGAGGAGCTAGGATTATATGCATGAGCCACCAGAGCATGGCTACAGT